CCCCAGATTTCAGCACTAAAAAACATCCACGCTGTGCAGGAGGTGTGAACTTCTCTCTCAGGTAATAAAAATCTGTCCATTTCTCTCCTTTCATCTTCACAGACATAATGGAGATATGTTGAAATCTGCCAGCTGTGGTGAGGTGTTCCCATTCAGCCCTTACTGAGACCTGATAGGCTGCTCGCTCACAAAAAAGAGGCTGAGCTGTTTGCTGAACCAAGGCCACATTATGTTGTGTGTTTGAATGTGTGTGGTCGGACTTGTGTGCGCTTCTGGTTGTGTGCATGTCCGTCTATATCAAGCGTCTGTGCCTGTTTGCATAGAAAAGCACACGTACATGTGTAAAATATGGAGAACAGCTCTCCACACAAGGGCTTTACATTTATCTGTTCCACTCTGGGTGAGCCAGCGGCAGCCGTTGCACATCCAAATGGTTGTATTTGCATTGTCGTAAAGCAGAAAGGGAGGGGGGGAAGCTTGCAGGACATCTTGTGTGTTTGATAAATGAGTCTGAGCTGCTCCCTTGGGTACTATGGTACAAGTGGTGGTAGTGTTGGTGGGAGGGGTGGCAGAACAATGCGCATGTCAGAAGTGGAGATTAATGGTGGTTTCTTCTCTGGGAAGTGTAGGTCTGGCTATGCCCATCAAGCTGGGATACTGGAACGGCTACTAAATTACCTCCTTTGTTGCTCACCTGTCAGAGAGTAGTCTGTTTTTTTCAAAGCAGCAGATAGGAGGGTCGTCACGATGTAGGGCTCTGTAAAATAGTTGTCTTCCATTGTGGTGATGTAACGGTGATGTAAAGGTCCCTGTTGAAAATTCTAGACTAAAATGTTCACTCATTTAAAGTAGAAAAAAAGCAGGCCTTTCTCTTTATGTGAACACCTGGCAGCATTTTACCCTCTAAACACTGTCTGACAGCCGTAGATGATGGACTGTTCCATTCTGTTGTGCGACGGTGTGTTTTTCAAGGATACAGGGCCAGAAATTGACGTTACAAACTAAACCAGAGTCCTGCAGCTTTTCTTTGTAGCTATCTAATTGGAGGCAGCAAAACAGTTGAGCTCTGTGTCTCTGCATGTGTTTCCTGTCTGGGCTCAAAGTGTTCAAAGCATTTGTTTGTCAGCTACCTAAATGTAAAAAAAAAAACTCCCAGAATAAGACATCTAGTACTCAAAAGCATTTATTGAACATAGCCTGTAAAAATAATGACATCACCCAGTAGTTTGTGGACTCTTGTTTTTGAAGCCTCCAGTTTGGCATTGTAGCATAGATGTAGAAAGAGAACCGAAAACATTGATAGAGGTAGGGCCCTGTTCATTCACATGAAAGTTGCTCAGTTGCACATGAAGCCAAAACATTCCTCATCGTGTGAGTAATGAAGCAAGGACACACACTTGCCCAGGCCAAGTGGGCTACTTGTAGTTTAGCGCTCAGTGCAGCTTTTGTAGACTTTCAATGTTACTGGACCAAACAGATCAAATCTCTATAATGAAACGTCATATTGCAGAGGTTATGACACTTAAAAAATGTATCCACTTATTTACAGACACCTCTTTCACAATGTAAAGTCTATGGGAAAAAGTATTTTTGGGCCCATTGGCATCAGGTGACGGACCAAGATGCTGTAGTTTCATTATTTGGCCACCATGAATATTGACTTCACAGCCATTTTAATTGTTGCCATCTTGGGTTTTTGGAGCCAGCAGTGACCATATATAGATGAGAGGGTGGGGCTGTGGAGGCGCGAGGGATGGATCTGACTCACAGACTGTAGCGACACCTCGCAGACAGCCCCTCACTCAAGCGGCCCACCCTTTATCATACCTTACTTTGAGTCATAATAAAATGTAAACAGTTGACTTGTGTTATTTAATAAATTATAGATAGGTATTATGCCATCGATTTGCTTTGTTATATAAAAAAAAGACAAAGAAGAAATATGGATTGATAAGTGTATAAGTGTCCTTTCCGTCTGCCTTCATCAAAGCGGACCAACAACCACACCCAGTGGCTGGGATTTCCTTACCTTTCCCATTATAACTGCTGACTTTAATATCATTAACTAACCTGTGATTGTTTGCCACAGACGAACATGTATTTACTGACCGCCTCCCACAGTTTACCAATTCAGTCCTCTTTGCAGATGACCTAAAACCACAGAGCTTTTCTTTTATTGTCATTGGCTCTATGGGGAAGTAAAGAAAATTTTACTCTATTTATTTATTTATTTATTTATGTTTCATGTGCAAAATGTGATGTAGTCAGAGCTGGCCCAACACATAAGCGAATTAAGTGGCCAGCACATCTCTCAGTGAATAACCACAAAGTATTCAGACAAGCCGTTGTATAAAAAGTATTTTGTATTTGACAAAGTATAAAAGAAAATCTGGGGTAAAAGTATTTTGCCATCTATCATTTATAGGTGCTATGGTTCCGTTTGTCAGTAGAAGAGATGTTGGATCATCAGCAGGTAGTGGTACAGATTTAATATATCCACATCCAGCCTCAGCCAGAACTAACACAGACCCAGAACAAGTGGCTTCAGCAAATACTAACACTATAAAAAATGTTTACATTTTACCTGTGCTAGATATTTTGCCCTTTTGTGGGGGGATTTTATATTTCCATTTTATTTATACAGTGCTCGTTTGTATTTTTATCATTTGCTCTTCATACCAGACAACACATTATTAGATATTTGTAATAAATGTATATTCTTCACCACATGGTTGCTTTGTGCATCTTTTGGTCGTGTCATGTCCTTCATTCGGTCATCTTACACTTGAAGACTATCTCCAATGAGACTATAACACCAAAATATGTATCAAACTGTATGCATCATCACAAATACAGTATTTACTGTACTCTTTTTATAGTGTTGCCTCTAATAGCCTACATCCCACTCTGGTTTTAACGTGCATATTTGTACATCATGTGTGCTCAAACTAATAATACACATGTTTCAGTGCCATGGTAATGGGAACACCTGAAAATGAGGGGGGGCCCCCAAACCATTCCACTTAGGGCCCCCAAAAGTCCAGGGCCAGCCCTGGATGCAGTAGCTTGTGGGCATATGGAGCCACTCATTTTTCCAATTTGGCACTGGCACTTCTTCGGGGCTCCAAGTAGTAAAATTGTGCACATCTTAGATGCTTGTTGAATCCAATTAGCTGTTCAATGCCAAGTGTAAGGCCACTGTGCAGGATGTGTGTAGTGTGTTATGCCCCTCATGATTTATTTTATAACCCTTTGATGAAACAACCGTGAGCACCTTTAACTGTTTTAAACTTACCTGTGCAACACTTTACGTTGCCCTGTTCATATAGGAGGTATATGTATTTAGATTTTCGCCCCACCCTTCACCACAGAAGTAAGGAAAATAAGTAAGATTGCTGCATTTCCAAATGTGTCTTTGACCTGAAAGACCTGCTTTCAAGTGTGTTACAAAATATAGGTATCACTAGTAAACTGATTCAAACTGTAAAGGGTGTCCTTATAAAGTGTTCGTGTCACCAGGAACCTTCTAAATGAGACATTCAAAAGCCGTTTTTGTCTCTGACCTTAATTGCTGCTGCAAGCCAAGTTTTTGTCACATTTTAGTGCACTTAATCTTTACTCAGTGTCAGCCTCAGCTCCTGAGGCCCATCCACATAGACCTAATTGCACAACAAGCACATAACGAATCACTGGCAACAACAGTGGCTGCGTAAAGAACACCCAAGGCTCTTAAAGGCGCGCACAGTAAGTACAGCCACCTCCGTCCTGGGTGAAATGGCCCCATGGATCTTCATAAAGAGGCCACAGCTCCCTGCACCACAGCAGCTGACATCCGTCTGAGTCTCCCAGGCTCCCCAGAAGATGTGTGTGTTTGTGAGAGTGCGACATGCCCGGCGGCCATCAGCATTTTATGTGGGTGTTCACTGTGTTAATCACACTCACCTCAGTATGGAGAAGAGATGGTACACGCTGTTGATGGGAGGGGAGGGCACGCAAAAGGTCACATGCAGCAACAGAGCAGCAGGACCGTTTGACAGGGAGAAATACAACAGGAGATGAGCCTCGGGAGAAGAAGCATTTGAATGCAGACGGAAGAAGATATTTGCATAAAATAAACACTTAATAAACATATTTATATTAAAAAGACAACTGACAAATGTTAAAGTTTGTGAGCAACACTCCTGAAGTTTCTGTTTTATATATTTTTCAGCTCATTTCCCAGTTTTTGCCCAAAGAAATCAGCTCATTTACAACATTTGTCAAAAAGTGTTAAATGCATGCCGCTCTTCAATGGACTTTAATTGCTGTCACCATGTCTTTGATGCTCCTTGAGTTGCCTTATGTCATAAATACTAAACATATGGCAGTACCTCTCTAACAAGCCTGTGTCAAGACTAGTTATTGCTGAGACTTCACAGAGACCACAGTGAATAACTATGATTGCTTCATGTAGCCTATTATCCTCGACTGGGAAATTTCCTCACATCTTAACATACTCTTTTAAAATCATAAAGTGATATCAGAGACCTACTATAAGTTGTTGGATTTAAATCATAAAACAGGCAATAACAGGAGTTTTCAACAGGGGTGTCAGAGGTTGGCTACAGTCTCAGTTCCTATTTTACTTTCACTTCGTTTTTGTTTTCATGAGTCCTTTTTGTTCGTGTAGAATTGGGTGCTGACTCCCTGATGGGACAGGTTTGATGTACAAATCATGGGCTAGTCTACACTCTGCAAATTATTCTGACCTTATTAACTCTAACTCCAGCTCAGCTGTCCTTCATATAGCACCTGTCATACAAGCATGAAGCCAAAAGTGCTTCACAAAGCAAAATTGAAACAACATGAACTAGAAATGCATAAAAATAAATACAATAAAAATAAAAAAATACATAAAATAAGAAGTGAGAATGTGGGGAAACGGTTGTTATGCATTGGTTTGATTTTATTCTACCATTAGATAATATACACAAAAAAATGTTTGAAAATTGTACTGTAGGAAGACCTGGTTTATATAAATAGGCTATAAATAAAAATAGAAACACGAGTACTGTGCTGTCTTTTACTGACAGTTATGAAATATTACAACAAGCTTAATTCTAATTTCCAAAGGCAGCCTGGCTTGCTGCTGCACAGAGAGTAAGCAATTTCCTTTCTAAGTGGTTACCAGTGGTTACAGGTGGCCATGTTGGGTTGGCGTCACCAGCACACAGCCTTCCTGGGCAGGTGTGTTACCTGTGGCTCCCTCAGGAAGCACCTCCGAGGGCTCTGCTGCCACAGCTGACGGACAGACAACAATGAATGAGCCCACGGAGGAGACCATGATATAGTGTCCCTCGCCATTGCTTCTAACTCACTGTCAACCCGCGTGTGTGTGGGAGCTGTGAGCCTCGCAGTGAGTCCCGCACGGCTTTCTGGTGGCAGACGGAGGGGAAGTGCTTCCTGATAATAAAGAGGTGCGTCTTATTTCCATTCCAGCGATTGACTGCGCACGGCTTTCACCGCCGGAGCTGGGGGCATTGACGCATTGTGGAGTCGACAGGGGGTAGCACTGCAACCCCGGCTTCGCTACACAACGGAGGCATCTCTCGGCGACACCGCGATGGCCGTAGTGCAGCTCGACACGGACGACCATCAACCTGAGAACGGCTTCGTGTCCCCCGAAACCACGTCGCCGGGGCTGCTGACACGCATCGACGGCTCCGTGCTGCCATTTCTCGGGGGATTTGGGAAGTACCAGAAACAGCTGATCGTGCTGACATGGATCCCGGCGTTATTTATTGGATTCAGCCAGTACTCTGATAATTTCCTCCTCGCCCAGCCGAACAACACATGTATCCAGCCTTTGGGGAACCTGTCTAATCAGACTACAAGCCATTCCTCGTTGTTAGACAGTCCCAAAAACATCAGCGCGCGGCCGGCTTATATAAATGCCAATGGAAGTTACGGCAGCCACAATGTCACCGCCAACATGCAGTGTAGTTGCAGTGAGTGGACATTTGAGCTGCACACAGGACTTGTACAGAACGTGGTCACCAAGGTAAGCTGTCCATCTTGAGGGTGGGCATCCTTTCCATCATACTGTGTTATGCATCTGATGCCTTACCCGCCCTAATCCTGCTGGGAGCCATTATAAGAGGGAGAAATTCACCTATCAACACCCACCCTTTAAAAAAATGTTAAAAAATGTCATGTTAACATGTCATATGTATATTATCTGACAGCCTCTGCTTTTAGTGCCTGTGTCTCCATTGTGCATCCAAGGCGTGCATTGCTCCACAGTGGGCCGTCTAGCACTGAGTCATTTCTCTCCTGTAGAGATCCACAGACCTGGCTCACATTGGATCTGAAAGTAGTAGGATCGTATATGTGCGAGCATGCACGGGGCTGACAGTGAGTGAGTCATCGCAGCAGCTGACACAAATAGTGTGACCTATCGCAGAGACACGCCACCATTGGCACACTGGGCAAAAGTGTCCGCGCTGGTGGAATTTGCTGGTTTTCGTAGTGGACGTAATAGACGTGAAGCCCTTTTTGATTTGGAGCAAAGGTCAATAGTGCACACTCTGGAATAATGCAACCCCATCCCTGGCCAAACATCACCCGCCCTATCTCTGCCCTGACCAAACACTGGTGACATATTCTTGTAGCTTTTATTCCGGGGAGCTTGGAGTGTGTCTGTGGTGTCTTTACCTCCGGTCACATCAGCAGTGTGTGGTAATATCCCTATCTGCACAGCCGGGGAAGGCTGAGGAGACAGCATAGGCCTGGAGTCATCATAGTTGGTGTGCCAGCTGGAGGAGGAAGTTTTCTAGATCTCATTACACCTGTCAGCTCTTCTCCCATTGTGGATGCTGCATGCTTATTAAGATGTAGACATAGATTCTGGGGGGGGACAAAGGGGACACATCCCTTTTAATATTTAAAGCGTGTGCACGTGCATCACCCCAATAACAACATGAAAGTAGCAGAGGACTTTTATTTTGATTCAATTAAAGACATTGCTTCAGGAAAAGGCAAAAAAGTGATGTGAAAAATGCACCAAAAATGAACAAAATCAAGTGTGTCACCTCCCTAATGTTGAAACAAAACTTGCACCTTGCATCACATTATGAAGTTTTATTTTTGAAAAGCATGAACTTTGATTCACAGGGGCTCTGTGAGTAAACTTGGCATCAATACTGGTAGGATAATGTGATTAAATCTTCAGAGAGAAATCTTAAATCTTATCATAGAGTTTCTATTATCACGACATTCATAGAGAGGGAATAAATAAGACTTTGGCTCAGAAAATGTCGACACACACTCTGATAATCTCACACACCCTTGCAGAGCTCAGCAAATTGCATTTTAACTTGCAGTACCCTCACCTCTGAGGAGTTTGGCATGCATGCCATAATCAAAAAGCTTATCAGGAAGAGTTAGATCTGAAGCCGGGCTTTGAAGCCTCTCTGTGCTGCAGGAGGGGGGTTGTGGCACCCTGAGCTTGAGTCCACTGTGATGCCAACAGCCCATCTGCTTATCACTGATAATGTCCCTGTTTAAATAAAGCAAATAAAATGCAACTGAGGCATTTTAATTCAGTCACAAGCCAGGAGGGGGACAGTTTAAATCTTGATTTCATTTACTGTTCGCGGGGTAATCTGAGAGGGTGAGGTTTGAAGCAACTAAAGCCAGGCTGATGGTTCAAAATGCTCTCGACCTGCAGCTGAATATGCAGTCATATATGAGGGAAATTGATTGGGTGGATACATATTACTAACAATCGAAAAATGTCAGTGCTCTCACGGGTAAAAAACGCAGAGAGTTTGGTGCTACAACACTGCCGGCTCTCCTCTCATGCTGGTCTTAACCTGTAGATGCTAATATTTGTGTTGCTTTTGCATGCATTAGGAGAATGTCATGTTGACACTACTACCACTGCAGATCAGTGACGGGCCTGAGCAGTTGGTAAAAGTGTCTCGTCTTCCCTGACCCATGCGGTCCACATTCTTACAAGGTCACCGTCAGGAGAAATTGAATCGGATGGCATTAGAATCCTGTATCGGAGCCAGAATTGAGTGTGAGTGTCTGTGGCCTCGTCTCGTTTGATGACCCGTCCCTCACTCTTCCAAGGCCCTTTTTTCCCCACCGTGGCACAGAAACTAGGATGTGACACTACGGCAGGAAGTGATGACTTGGCATTTCTCCCTGTGTTTGGATTGCAGGCATAACTGCACATGACTGGGCTCAACTATCTGTGACACTCGATCCCTATAACGCAGAGCAGAGTGCCAACACGGCCGAAACGTGTCTGTCAAAATGTACCAACACATTCTAACTCCACATCACTCTGTTAACCTGCCATGAGGGAAACATGTAAATATATGCAGATGTTTTCACAGCGTGCCACGTAGGTTTTGCCTCCAGATTTAGTTGCACATCTCTGCTCGCTCCTTTTTCTCTTTTGATGGAGGTTGAGGTGGTGGTGGAGGATCTAAAGTGGTTAATGTGGAGACCCATACTAATTGAGTCAAAGCTCTCCTCAGGGTCCATCTTAATTGGACTGAGCCTCAGAAATGAGAAATGTATCATTACTCAGAGACAGATAGAGTCTCTCTGCAACCTATCCTGCTCAGCTCCCATTCAGACGGGTGGCAGCTTCACACACCTGCCTGAAATAGTGGCCTGCGACAGTTTAAAGGCAAAGACGAACCTCTACACTGATGCCCAGTGAAAGTTTGGTTGTTTGGGATTGATAGAATGGCGTTCAGACTGGTACAAAGCTACGACACCCTCATGAATTTAGCCAATTTTGTATCTAGAACATGGAATTATTTCTGTTTAGTAATGTGAGTTGCGAGTTAATGTCGACAGATCGCTTAATCTGTCGGATCAACAGTCTAAAACTCAAAAGATATTCCATGAGAAAGCTTTAAATCTTCAGAAAACTGACAATATTTTGCATTTTTTCCTCAATAAATGACCAAAAAATGAATCCATCATGAGAATTATGGGCTGCATGGTGGTGCAGTGGTTAGCATTGTCGCCTCACAGAGAGGATTCCTGCTTTGAATCCACAGTGGGGGGTTGAACCCAGGGTGGGGAGCCCTTTTGTACAGAGTTCTGTGCATGTTCTCCTCCAGGTACTCCGGCTTCCTCCCACAGTCCAAAGACATGCAGGTTAATCGGTGACTCTTGAATTGTCCGTAGGTGTGGATGTGAGTGTGAATGGTTTTCTGTCTCTATGTGTCAGACTCAGCCCTGTGATAGTGTGGTGACCTGTTCAGGGTGTACCCCGCCTCTCGCCCAGTGTCATCTGGGCCTGCGACCCCCAACAGGATAAGCTGTTACAGAAAATGAATTAATGCTTTGATTGACTCTGTTGATTGTTGGAGTTGAAATGTTCTTATCTACTAATTGATTAACAGAAAAATAAATTAGAATCAATTAGTCTTAAAACAAAAATGCTGTATTTTGTGGTTACAGCGTCTAAATTATGAAGATTTGCTCCTTTATCATATGTGATAATAAACCGATTATATATGGGCTTTAGACCTTTGGTCGGACTGGTAGAAAAAGATTTCCACACACTTACATCTCTGCAGTGTTTCACTTTCTTGTTGAGCTTTCGATCTATTCGACCTTCATCAGAGCTGACAACAATGGACAGGCTGGTAAAAGGAACTAATCTCAGTCTAGTCACTAGCTGTATGCAATACACCTGTGTGCAACCCTGGTGGCAGGAGCTCCACCTTCTGGGAGTTGTAGCTTTTTAGGCATAAAAATAGAAGCCATATTTGTCTTGTCAAACACTTGCTGTGTCTCAAATCACATACTTCCGTAAGTACACTACATGTATTATACTATGTGCACTATGTACTTATTGGCGTAGTGCGCGAATTTCGACAGGGTAGTGTTGTCTTGAGCACTTACCAGAAATGACAACCACAAATTAGCTAGCTAGCAAACTAGCATTAGCATTTCCGTTATCGTTCGCAGTACCAAATCATCACAGACTGCTAAATTAACCCAATAAACATATTGCTGGCTTATACCCGACAACAGTATAGTGGTGCTTAGTGCAAAACACATGTATAACTTACATTTGAACAATGCAGTGACGTTCACGGTCACACAGTCCTCGGCCGCCATTTCCAGTCAAAAGTGGTTCCTCCCCTTCCGCTACGTAGCCAAGATGGCGACCATTGAGGGCGACAAGTGTCCATAGTTCCACACTCAACTTCTTGACCGTTTTGAGTGCACCATCCGAGTACTCATAGTGCACTGCATTCTTCCATACTTCTCAGTGTGAACGCACTTATGCACTCAAAATATTAAGTGTAAGTACAGAAGTACGCGATTTGAGACACAGCGATAACCATAATATAACACAAGGGTGGAACATTTAAAATCACAGAGCACCTTATAACAATATCAAATTACAATTCCATCACCTTTGGTCAGACAAAAGAAGACATTAGAAGATTTTCAGTTGGGCTTTGAGAAAGGGTGATGTAAAATTTCAAGTACTTTTATACATGTTATAGGCCCAACCACAGCTGCAACTCACTATTATTTTCATTGTTGATTAATCTGTTAATTATTTTCTTGATTAATTGATTGGTCTATAAAATGTTGATCAAAGCCCACAATGAAAAATATATTCACATTTAGGAAAGTGGTATCAGAGAATTTTTTGTTCTTGAAAAATTACTCAAACCGAATAATCCACAATCAAATTAGTTGGTGATTAATTTACAACTGAAGGATTGATCATAGTAAAGAAAAGTAGATGGGTAAGTTGATAATGAAAATAATCGTTAGTTGCAGGTCAGGTTGAGTGACTACAGATGCACCATGGAGGAATTGTCAGTTAGTGCTTGTAAACAGAATCGTTGGAGAAAGTGAGAACAAACCCAGATTCACTCCACTGGGTGCTTGCTATATTTGCATTTTTCGCCACAGTTGCCCTTTTCGTGGCTTCCTCTTGGTGCTGCTACCTGGTCACTACCTTTGAAGTCCTGCTGTACCCAGGAACACCTTGAACTAGGGCTGCCACTAATGATTATTTTCATTGTCGACTAATCTGTCGATTATTTCTTCGATTAGTCGACTAATCATTTCATCGAAAAATGTGTTAAAATGTTGAAAAATGTCGGTCTGTCTCTCCCAAACCCCAAAATTACATCATCTAATGTCTTGTTTCGTACTCATGCCAAAGGATTTTAGTTCACCGTCAGAGGAGAGTGTGTAAAGCTGCCAATATCTGAACGTAAGAAGCTGCAGTAAGAGTATTTTGGGGTACTTTTATAGTACTTTTCTATGAAAAATGACTCAAACCGATCAGTCGATTACTAAAATAGTCACAGATTATTTTAATAGTCGATTAGTCATCGATTAGTCGACTAATCGTGGCAGCCCTACCTTGAACACAGCACTGCTACACGTCTAGTGGGCCCAAAGTGATGATGAAGAGGGATTACTTTGTATGAGTCTATACGTTGTTTGCTTTCTGGAAAATCCTGCCTAGTGTTCCTTTAATCCAGCAGTAGGTCTTCAGTATATACATTACAACTGTACAGTATGCCAGTTTTGTAGGTTAGAGTATTGTAGGAAAGTAATAAGGAAGATATGTAGTGTAAGTACAGTGGTGGGTACACCCAGACCCGGTATCACTGTACTGGAGGCTGCACACCCATAGATCTGAAAGATGATACTGTAGCTGAACACCCATGCAGGCCTCTCTGCTCTGTGTCCCCTCACACTGTTTACCCAGCTGGTTGGCTTCTTCCACAGACCCTGGATCAGTGTGGGACACTTTGAAACAGCCTCAGCTGTCGAAAGGCGACGACCCCGCTGCAGATACCCAGTCAGCACACAATGACAGCCGCTCACGGCGTCAGCTGGAAGGAAAGATGCTTGTGCGACCCAAAGATAAAGCTCTGTCGAGGCTCTGTGTGTGTGTGTGTGTGTGTGTGTGCTGCAGGCTTGTTTCTGATAAGTTTCCTCATCAGGGAGGGGTGATCGTTGTGGGGTGCCTGACCCTCGGCTGTAGTGTGAGTTTGTTTTAAGGGTTGTGTGATGGAATTCCGTTTTTAAGAGTGTTGGTTGGTTGTAACAGACGTGTACTTGCAGTTCTTAACTGTCAACAAAGGGAGGCAATGAATAATAGATTGACGGTAAAAGGAGTGTTGCATCAACATCTGTCACTTATGGTCACAGGAAAACATAACTGCCAACCTGCCAAACACGTTGTTCATCCAGATCCTACAGTAGTATGACAGTTATTTGAGACGCGGTCACACCTAGATAATATAAAATCGCTCGTAGGGCTTTAAGTCCCTCAGGCTACATCTCCTATGTCAGATATTGTTTCCTTCTTGTCTTCTTTTTACCACAGAACAGCGATGGAAGGAGAGTATCAACGTGTCTTTTTGCTCCATCTTTTGTTATTCTCCTCTCCTCTCACCTAAGCTACCACCACATTATAGGATTTCAGCCCTTCGGTGCAGCACTGGTGCTAAAACTTGCACTTGGAGGCAGAAAGAGTCTGATAACCACGGCGATGGGCTGTTGCTAGGCAGTAACTATGCAGCAGTCTCTCCATGTGTTTTCTCCTCACAACTGCTTTTAAGCATCTCTATTCCTCCCTCTTTAGCCTGTTAGTCCTTACCAGTACTTTCCTTTATTCCCTCCATCTCTTCGTATGTTCTGCCTCTACATTGTATACTCTTTATTCCTCCCTCCTCCTGTGCTTCCCTCCGTCTCCCTCCCTCGCCTGCTCCCCTTCCTTTGAACCCCCCACACCCCACCCACCGCTTTGTGGTTCAGTGAGTGCAGAATCGTGCAGCTGTAGTTGAGAGCGTCTTCATCTGAGCTAATGAGACTGGATGGTGTCGGCTGATCATTGGTGGCCGCCGGTCATTTGAGAGAGGTCAACAGACACCCTGGGGATTTTAACTGATTTGCTTTTAGCCGTTCATTGTTCTGCATTTTCTGCCAGCTATGTGTACAACCCAGCTCCACGCACTGATTGCTAGGCATTACTCCCAAATGAGCGAGACAATGGCATTGGAGCAACTGGCAGAAATAATAGGGGCATAGAAGGCAAGCTGGGAGCATTTGACTCACTGAATCGCAGTTGTCTGGGATTTCTTTGCTCTGCTACAGCTGAAAGTCATATTTCTGTGCCACTAGCTGTATGGATGTGCAGTAATGATTGTGTATGAGCTCGGTTAGAGAACTGGCCTTGAGAGAATCCTGGTTAATAATACATGTGAATTGTCTTTGAAATAAAACACGTTAATGTTCCGTTCAGAACATCCACCACGCTCTGCCCATTTTCACTGCTCATTTCAACACCACTTAACTTGCTGCTTTGTCTTCAGCATTTGACCTGGGGATATGTCTGTATCTCACCCCGTTGGTCATCTGTCTGTGGTCACCCGCAGATGTCGACTCTGCACAGTCACCAAACTGTCATCCAGCTGCGTGGTGCCAATCCTTGTGTAATCGCCGACTCAGAGGTTCATGTAAATATGCTGATTTGTCATAGTCCCGGAGGAGGGCCGCTTCAGTTTTTTAAAGCCTTGGCTGTGCTGTGATTGCACAACAGGAACTTGTTTGCCTCCCTCTGTCTTTTTCTCTGCTGACATCGATACTGAAACCATGAATGAGTGGCATGCCTGGATCATGTGATGGCTGGGTGGCTCTGGGTAATCCTGGAGCGTTCCATTCTGAACAGGTCACTACAGTAGAGGTTATAAGAGGTTAGAGCCCCCCCAGAGAAAAATGCAAGAACAAACTACACTCTGTATTTCAAGATGAGGCTGAGCTGCTGGATGAAACATCAACAACAATTTGGTGATATTTGTTCCCATAATCCTTATAGTGATTTGGTGAATAAATGAGGCAGCATTGGGGCAGAATTGCACCTGCTATGGCCGCCACGCCCCTGTCTGCTCCTTCCTCTCTGCCGGCACAGACAGCTGGTTGGCATATGTTGCCAAAAAGTCCTCTAATATCCCCCTCCTCTGTGAAATTCATCTTCCCGCTCCTCTCAGGATCAACCACTCTATGAGGATCATTAAATAGTAATGTCAATGTTAGTCCAAGTTGCATGTTCGGGCTAAATTCTCAAGGGGATTGAGTTTCTTCCTGCAAACATGCACAAGAAATGCAAATACTCCACTGGGCTTTACGTTTGCTGCTGCACCTCGCTGCCATCAGTGCTGTGTACAAGGTCTGTTTGTCACAGCGTGTTTGCATTGTTTGCACTCTAGGAATCCCTCCGCGGAGAGTTTCAGGCGGCAAAGAAAGCGAGGAGATGCGGAGTCGACTGTAATAATGTACACCATTTCGACACACAGCAGAGGAGCAGTGAACAAATAGTGAAATAAGAAATGTCAGCTCACGTATACTGTATACATTTTGACTGAGGATAATAATAGAGCTGATTTAATCCCTGATATTAATTTCAAGAGGTTTCTCCAACCTTCCTGGTGGCACTGAAGGCAAATAAACCCCAATGCATCATTTTGACAATTTTGCATTGCTTTTTGATGCTTACAGAGTTGCAGTTTTCAAGACCACATATTTATGTGTGAGTGAGTCATGGCTACATTCAATATCAAGTCTGTTTAGAGATGTACTATTTTGGGTGCCATTGAGCGTAAACACTAATAGTGCTTGCACTGTAGTCTGTGTAAAATAATGTCTGGAATGATTAATAGAGGTAATGCAATTGTTGGAGACTTATATCAATGTTCATATTAGACAAAGTACCAGGAAGCGCATCAGTACGCACCCTTCTCTCATTTCAATGTTATGTGTTTTGAGCAACGATAATCCCCCATAAATCAGACAGAGTTAGCGTAGCGTTTGAGTCAATACATAAAAGTGTCTCATCCTCAAAATATATAGCCTAGCTGTTGCTTTCACTTCCATTTTGTACCCAGCATAAGTTTCTGTGTTTGTCTCTGCAGTGGAGTCTGGTGTGTGACTCAGCATGGAAAGTCCACATCGCCAAGTTTTCTCTGTTGGTGGGATCCATCTTTGGATACCTGACGTTTGGAATCCTTGCTGACTGGTAAGATTTTCAAAGTTCTTGCACAACAGAAAGTTTTTCACATTAAAGGTGGCCAAAAATAATTCTTACCTCGCTCCGTAGGTTCGGCCGCCACCCGGTGCTGATCATATCGGTGCTGTTCATGCTGGTGTTTGGTCTGTCCGTGGCCTTCTCTGTCAACGTCCCCATGTTCAGCACCCTGCGCTTCTTCGAAGGTTTCTGCCTGGCAGGGATCACCCTTTCTCTCTACGTCCTCAGTAAGTGTTAATCTCTAAACTAAAAGCTTTGAGTTTACTCACAGGTTGCCCCACTTTGTTATTGTTGCTGTGCTTGTCCAACTAGCGCAGCACGTATGCAGTTGATTACGCTGATGAAAAGCACTCAAAATGTGGGGTACTTTAATAAAAAAGGTTCTTAGATTTAAAGGGGTGGTTCATATTTTTTTTAAGTGGGGTTGTATGGGTCACTTATCCATAAATAGTGTATGAAAAACAGTAGATGTCAGTCGGCATGCCTCTGGTTTGAAGAAACAGGCTGGAGTCTAACACTGAAGCTAAGCACTCCACTGTGATGAAGGGGGCAACAACAAAACACATTTTAGCCACTTGAAAAAATTTCCCACCTAAAAAAATCAACATCAGTTTAAGCATATGCTATACTGAGTGTATTTTTACTGCTTTACCTTTCTGTCAGACAGTGATTTCCAGCGGGAAATTGAAGCTGTTATTTCGCTCTCCTCAAAGCCAGACTCCATCGAGAAAAATGGTGATTTAACGTCGCTGAACACAGGAGCTGCTGCTCTGCCTCTGCTTAGATCAGTTAGTTAATTTGTGTTATTGTGTGACTTTGGCATGTTAAAGGGTTAGTTCAGATTCACCAAAGTCACACAATAACACAAACAAACTATCTGATCGAAGCAGCTTTAGCTAAGTGGCTTCCTTGTTCAGTGAGCTAGAATTATTCTTTTTCTCAATGGAGTCTGGTTGACGAGAGCGTAAGTGGGGAACTGAAGCTGTTAATGGCTTCCCTTTCGAAACAGGTGATGGATGGAAAGGTGAAGTGGTGAAAATACTCTCAAAATGGCACACACTTTAACTGATATTGTTTTTCTAGGTGGCTAAAATACATTTTGCTGCTGACCCCCATACACAGCAGTATATTGCTTAGCTTCTGTATCGGACTTGGGACGTGCTGACTGATATCCACTGTGTGTAATGCACTGTGCTATGGATAAGTGCCCCATACAACCCTACCTCGAAACAGCGGAACTATCCCTTTTAAACACAAGTATATGAAAGCAGGACTCGCATTTCTAGCTGGCGACCTCTGATTTTGTAGGCGGAAGTAACAACGTTCGCTAGCAGGCTTTTATTTGTAGCTAGCTAATTAATGGGAGTGTGGGAAAAATTGATAGTGTCGCAACATTTCACGTGGCAATATTGTATCGATACACAGACACCAAGTATCAATGTATTTATTATATCAACACAAATTAAACTTTTGGTAGCCTACGAATAAAATCAATTGCTTTTCAGTCCACGAGATGCATTTTGCTGCAATGTTTTTTTTTTTTGGAGTGAGATGAATAGACTAAAAAAAATTTAACTTTTAACGTTATTTCCACCTCTACTAATTAATAACATTAGGAACAGGCAGTCAACATTTTACAAGGCAAAAGACTTTGACAAGAAGAACTAAGGGCCCGTCCCAATACCCCCCCTTGGTCCTACCCCTACATTTGCGCGTTCCCGCGAGGGGTAGTGGTGTCCCAATTCCTTTTTGCGTGTAGGGGTAGGGGGCATAACGAGGGGTAGTGGGTATGAAACTAGCCCTTTGGAGCGAGGGATTTCAGATGCTGACTTGCCAGCGAGGGGTAGATGTCGCCATGCCTACCACCAAGCAAGAGACGGGGAAAAAAGTTCATACATAGCTAACGCTACCCTCATCAGGTTGCTTGTTAGCTAGCTAGCTAGCTAGCTCACACTATCTGATGTCTGTCATCTGTCCTGTTGTGCACAATTGTCAGATTATTCACATTACGATAACATGCCAGCTAGTATAACTATGCTGCCTTGTAATGTTAGCTGGTTAGCTAGCTAGCAGAAGTCCCATGTCGTCTGTCGTTCATCAAATGAAGCATGATGAATGCAGCAAACTTGATCGGTAGGATGAGCTCAACTGGAGACTCCATTATAGATGTCGGTTGGAAATGTAGATGGCTTGCAGCTTCCTGTTTAAAATAGTTACGTATGCGTGAACGTAACCGACGCGGTGACGTAGTGAGTAGTGTCCCAATTCCTAGGGAAAGATTTCTACCCCTACCCCTCGTTGCTTCATTTTGAGGGTCAAGGGGTAGTTGGCAAGGGGGGGTATTGGGATTGGGCCTAATTTATATATTTGGCTATCTTAACACTTTTTCAGTTGAGTTATAACTGAGTTGCTGAAGTGTAAACGAGTCAAGACAATAAATATCATTACCCTCAACTCTGAGTTGCCTCTTGGCTCCCACACAGTTAATGTTCCAGTCCTGAATGGACAATCTTCCAACGTCACCTGTAATCCAACAAGAATAATGTAGTTAGCAAAGCTCCTTGACTTCAGAGGTAACTCTGGGCCACTGCTGTAGGTAGCTATCAGTTTGCTGGGCCTGCTAACATTTGCAGGCTACCTTACAACAAACAAGCACATTGTTTATTCTATTCAAATTCACTCCTGTGCTGCAGGTTTTGGAAGGCATGACCTTCCAAACTTATTTATTTACACAGTTAGTTATGGTTGTAGTCTGCTTTTGACAATCACTGTTTGTGGGAGAGGTTTGGCAAACAGTCAGTTGAAATATGAGTACCTATCTGTGTTGACTGTAAACGCTGAATATTTTTGCTTACTCATTTTGCCTGGGGCCATTTAGGGAGCACTTGAAACCTTTTCAATCTAGTTGCAGCTTTGGTTTGAATTTGTAGACAACCTGGCACTAAACACAAGTGCTCAGGAAGAATGGCACAGCAGTAATGTAGCAATAATACTGTACAAAAACGCAGGCTTATTCCACTGAAACCTGACGATTCACCTGTAAGCCGAACTGGTTTGTGTGGGACTTTGGGCTCCGAGGAAGTAGGATTGTTGCACTGCAAGTTGTAAGGAGCAGTTTCTCTGTTGGGTCTGAGTATGCCTGATATTTCAACATCATCACTGAAAAAGAGCTCATGTCAAAATGTTATACCTCCTGAAGGAAAGATGTGTTTACTCTTAATCAAAATCTGGTACAGGATTAAGTCTGGCATACTTGAAATTCTTGTTAAGCCTCATTGCGTCCCACTAAAAGACGAAATACCCATTTAATGTGATGAATTATTGTATCATATTAGTGTTGTGATAATGCTTTACAAAATTAATTTAACCCATACTGCCCGCTGTTAATCCTTAGTATCTGCCCACTGATTCTCTTCTCATTATGACCTGATACGCCTCATCAAAAGCCTATTCTACTTTAACTCTTGTCTCTAGCTGAGGATAGCATCCAGCTGGAAGAAGAGTAATTGTGTTGCAGTGACCTCCCTAACATTTATTAAATTGAACGCCATTGGCGGGATAGATTCTCATTACAGAACAACAACAGGCAGTACTGGCAGCCTTACCCTTGAAGTAACCTCTTTAATTTTCATTTAGTTGTGCCAGCATGTGTCTTTTCCTGAGATTTTAATCCTTGTTACCGCTAATCAATATTCAGATAAATGGCAGGAGGGGCTGGAGGTGCTGTGGTAACTTGTCTTCGATATAGTTTCACCCATCACTGCAGGTCAGGAGGAGAGTAATTTTCTCAGATATGAATCGTCTCTGTTGACGTGACCTGTAAAGGTTTTAAATAATCTGTTCTGCAGGAACGCAGCGTTAGTCCCAAAGAACAGGAGAAAAGGACTTTCTGATAGCGTCCTGATAATTGGCTGTGCAGCTGATGCACACTCTGGTCTCGGCAACGGATCCTTAAAAGCCTCTTTGGCCGCGGTAATTGACCAGTGCAGAGGGAGGTGGCAAAAGTGGAGGGAAGGGAGAGATAAGAGGGAGGGAGCGAGGGCAAGATGATGAAGGAAGGGGCCCTCAGTGTCCTTGTCATTCTAATTTACTCAACACTGTATACCTTGAAAAGCTTCGCCGCGCTCCCAAAATAGACGGACCGTTTAGTCTGCTCCGGGGACAAAGGAAAGAAGGTGGGACAGTGGGAGGCAAAAGGGTGGAGTCAGGCTGTACAGTATGGTGTCCTATCAAATTTGAATGAACTTGACATCTGCTGCCATTGTTTTCACATTAGCCCACAGTTCACGGTTCAGTAAATCAGTGGTTCTCAATCTGGCAGTTGGAACCAATTAAGAGGTGGCGGGGTTCATATTTATTCTACATCTCTACTGTACAAGCTTATATAATATTTTTTGTCAGATCTTTTGCTTTTATCAGGGTTCATATGGATCTGTAAAATGTAAAAATGTCTGGAATCAATCTTTCAAAAGTCTTAAGAAATGGAAAGATGTGGGAAGTAGAATTTTATAAATGTTTTTTTTCTGATGTTACATTGTAAAATCTCAAAATAATTGGTTATATCTATATTTTGAATAGAATTTACCCAATTGTATTGATGTCAAGCAGATCATGATAGCAGAACCAACAACACTTGATAGTTATAGATAGCAGTAAAATTTAGGTTGTGATGTCAGGTGACAGAAATTCAACTTCAGGACAACGCCTAATACCAACTTCAATTTGATATAGAATACTGACAACAGATGACATTGATATTTTGTTGGTTTTAAGAGGTGTCGTTACGTAACCAAAATCTAGGGCTGCCCCCAATGGCGAATTTTCCTAGTCGACCAGTATTCGTCATTTGGCGCCATTAGTCGACTTGTTGCCCGCATGTTAATATTATTGTTAAGTGATATATTTTGGGCGGGGCAACACAATGGTTTGAGTTGAAGGTGTGAGAAAGAATAGTATCAGTAACATTGTTAACACTGTGCTACATTACAGAGAAATACAAAACTGTACTAATGAACCTTCATTAATATAGGCCTATATTTTATCTACAAGTGCACGTCACACACTGAGCGAGCCGCCTGGTAATGACGCTGAGGGCTAATGGGCATGTAGCTACTTCCATGTTTCAGATGATACGTCATGTTTGTAGTCGACCAATGAAGATGAGTTTACATATCACCTTGGGTTCGTCCTTCACCTTCTCAAAATGATCCCACACTTTGGATTTCCT